GAACGTCTCTCGCGGTGTGGCCTTCTGCACCACCATGGGCCTGGCCGCCATTGCTCAGCCGACCTGGGCCGTTGGGAAGGCACACAAACCCACACCACTCTCGAGCCTGACAAGTCCTACCAACCCAACTATGACGTGAGAGCAGAACAATCCACAACTGTGCACCAGAGAGCCCTCAACTGGCCACAGCTTGGACAAGAGACCACACTGTAGACTGCACAGACCACAGCTGGCTCTTTTTTTGCTCTCATGCCACGGAAAAGAAAAAGGGGGCTGGTGAGTTGGGAACATCTGCTGAAGTGGGGGATCATTGCGATGATAAGGCATTGAGAAGGGCATCAAAACTCATCAACTGAACATGTTGCAGTGGTGTTCCTAACCCACGTGTGCACGGATGCTACCCGGCAGCAAAGACAAGCAGTCCTCACACACTCCTCGCTCATGCGCCAACGCTTCCCAGATGTCACTGCAACTGAACTCCGGGTGCTCCAAGCGGGCCCTGTTGATTCCTCTTCGCATCTGGCAAAGAGGGATCCCTCCACTCATTGCATGGAATCGTGAAGAAGGCCTCCGTGCCACCTCGTAGCCATCGACTGGGGCTCCCGCTCCAGTGCGATGCCGAAGGCGGCGTACCATGCTGGTAGCCCATCCCCAGTTATCCTGTGAGTGGTGGCGGCCGCCTGTCCACATGCGATGGAGTTCCACCGCGCGGGCGTCCTGGATCATCGTGGTGGCCCGATGCATGTCGCCTCCATGGATACGCTGCAAGCATCACCCCTGCTGCCAGGGGTCCACGGTGAACACCTGCAAGACAATGTACATATGCCCCTTCCCCTCTTTTGAGGGTGGCTTCCACCAAGTGCCAGGCCTGTACAGCCTCTGCGTCCCTGAATCTCTCATCAGCTGCAGCAAAGCGCGCCTGCATACAGCCCTGAGGAACAATCCCTTGTTCCATGGCTGTAATGCCCTGTTCTGCGAAAAAGCTGCGAAGCGATTCTGTTGGCAAAGGGCCCAACCAAAGAGTGCCCATTCCCTGTGGCACTGGCAAAGGTGTGGGCGGCTCTGGCCTGCCGCTATGGCCGGGCTTGGACCATCTCTCCCTCGCCCACTGGTTGAAGATCTCGTCCTCTGGTGGGCTCCTGGATCTGGACCGCGCCGGCTGGCCACCCCTTCGGAAGGCTCCCGCCTCCCTAGGTCGGGCCTCGCGGGCTGGCTCCAAGTGAACCGGCAATGCAGGCTCCTCATCCTCAACAGCCTCCACCTCCGGCACAGGGCTCACCGCCCTGGCTGCTGCTGCCCGCACAGGTCCCCCTGCAGGGCTCACAGGGGCCCGATCGCCCAAAGATGCTGCTGATGATGTAGGGCCAGCTGCAGGCCATTGAAGCTCTTGGGTCGCTTGGAAAGCTTCCCGGGACATGCACTTCTTGGCAAAGCAGTCCGCTGCAGGGTGCTGTCCAGCGCAAGTCCTGCCGCTGCGCATCAAGATTCCGCACTTATGATCGAGGCGGCAGTCGGGATCTGCGCAGTTGTTCGTCTGGTACCTCAAGCAGAGCACATCTTGTTCGCGGCCTTTCAACCGCAAGGAGACCACCTTGCCGGGCACCAGGTTCTCGAGCGGGGCATTCCGGTAAGCCATCTTGGGCGATGTCAGCGTGAACCGGCGGGCCGCCCGGGCGCTAAGCTCTTGAGATGCACAATGAGTGACATGTTCATGCACCAAGCTCAAGTCGCATTCTAGTTTGGCCTTTTCTAGATGTTGCTGCCACGTGCCCGGGCTAATGCTCTCCCATGTGGTCACATGCACTGATGACAGAGCAGACCTGAGAGCCCCGGCCAATTGCAGCTTGATCTTCACCGACAGCAAGTAGCGCACTGCACTATACTGCAAAGGCATCAAGCTCTGCCCCTCAGGCGGTTTCAACTGCCAGTCGGACAGAGCTTGAGTCTCAGTGGGTTCCAAACCTACCAAGGAAGCCAGGGTGGGCAAAACACGCCTTGCTGAATAACTTGTAAGACTGTCAGGATCCTGTACGTGATCCGACATGATCCGACGAATGGCTGATGTGATTGCGGATTGAGTCAGCGAGGCCAACTTTGTACTGTCAAAAACCATACCGAAATCACGCCGCTTCAAAAGTGGAACTGCTAAATAGGCTGGCTTGTACATCTCCCACCAATCCCACTGGGTTGTCACGAAAAACCGTGGGATGGCGAAGTCAAAGCCCCCATGCCTGAGGTTCTTTTGCTTTCCTTTTGGGCACCAACAGTGGATCATATTGGGGCTAGCCCGCAATACAACGGCCCGGCGAATATGGGCCATGCGAAGGCAGCCAAAGCCCTGAATCCAATGTCCAAGCATCCCAGTCCATGCAGGGTTGCCCGCCCTGTGGGCAGCAATGATGGCGGTCTCCAAAACCCTCAACATGGCAGGTTCCAGCACTGGGGCCTGTTTGGAGTTATCCCCAATGGCCGGCTTGGCCCTCACAACCTCCGGCTGTAACACTGAGTCCATGTGCAAAGGGATCAGCAAATTGCGTTGGAGCCATTTCAGTGAGTGATATGCCCTGCCCATTGCCTTGTGTGAATGCACAAACGCCTCAACTGTTGAAGCTTCCAGCTCAACAAGAGGGCGCTTTGTGGTCTGGAGAAAAGCCATGAGTTCATCCCAGGTCATAACCGCTCGCGCCACAGTCGCGAACTCTGCACTGCCCTGCACCTGCTGTGCCCGGCGCTGTGCTGAGTCCAGGCGCTCCTGCAGTGTGGCTGGCGGTAAGCCAGCTGTAGGGCCCTGCGCAGCTCGAAGGATCTGCACCAGCTGCTCCACCTGGGTCCTGCCTCTGGCCTCAAGCACCTTGGCTGGGGCCCTGGCCACCTGTCTCTCACTGACCCGATGCCTGGGAAGTGGCGGGCGTTTGGGTGGGGTGCCTTCCAGCGGACCCACTGTAGACACTGCTGCATAAACCCCGGCAGAGGCCCTGGCCAGGTCCCGGAACTCCCGTCTCCGGGTTTGCAGCCAACTGTGTGCCAACCACTCCCCAATCTTCTGGGCTTGTGTCACGTCTGTAAAGGCAAAAGCAAAATCCCCATCATCCAACAGGCCATGATGCTGTCGCCATGTAGTGACACGTTGGGCCCATGCAGCCGCCTCGACGGTGTCCCGAGGGCCGCGCACCTCTGGCTGGCCGGTGGTTCCCACCACCTGCACTGGGGGACACATCATCATGGCTGAGATGACCACGAAGAGCTGAAGGCCCTGCACGAAGCCCTTAAGCCGTCTCGCAGATGCGGCATATTTGAAACTCCTCCGCACATTCGTCACACACCGGCATGTCACAGACGTCGCAACAATTGCCTGTCGGCAAGCCACACCATGTACAAGCCGGCAGGAGCGGGTGGCCATTGGCTTCTTGGATATGCCATGACCATAGGGTCCCCGCAGCCCTCTGCTGATCGTCGAGGACACGCACGTGGCGAGGCTCGGCCCATGGCGGGTCTTCCCAAACCCGGCTGGGGCGCAAATAGGTGGCCCATACTGAGAAGATGTCTGCTCGAGACACCACAGCATGGTCCCTGTCCAAAATGGCCTCCAGGTATTGCGGGTAGATGCTGGTGACTCGCATGTCCCCATCCACAAACGGGGCAAGGTCATCCCGTGTGAGGCGGCGCGTCCCTGCTTCCCAGTCCAGGGACCGCCCTCCCAAGGGGACCACCACACCTGCCACAGTCCAATCTGGGTGAAGCCATGGGAACTGAAAGCCGCCGTAGCTCCTGTTGCACCTGACGCAATCGGCCTCGGTGCATGGGACTTCCAAAATAGGCAACCCCTGCACCATGGTTGGAACCGACTCATAAGGCTTGTGCAACACAATGACGACATTGGATAGGTGCGCCATGGCCAGAGCACGCGGCATCCCTGCCGCGGCTTCCAGGAAGGCGCGAAGATTGCGTGGCGTGTCCACTGGGACAGTCGCCCATGCGGCCGTGCGGAATACATGGCCGAACATCAAGCAACCTGATCCTAGACACAAATACGAAAGAAAGCTGTTTTGGCTCAGCTTGAGCCAAAATGGCCCCCATACGGCGAGCACATTTTGACTCAAGCTTACATGTTCCCTGAATGATGCCATGTCACCCAAGGCCTGCCAAGCACTAACATGGAACAAATACAACTCAATTCTACAGGATCTCTGGTCCCTCTTTGTGGTCTGCAAACAGTTCCAAACGAATGTTTCCAAAAGCTCCGGCACCATTTGCCGCGCCATAAATGTTCAAGGACCATCCAAATGAGCCCCATGAAGACATGCCATTAGCGGATTAACAAATAGGTCTTTCCCCGCCATCCAAGGAAAGTGCCAACATGCCCATGCTTTCAGACATACATACGGCGATATTCATGGCTTTCAAAGGAAGCTTGATGCTATTCCTGCCGCCGGGCAGCATGATGTTCAAAAGAAAGCCCGTACAAACATTAAGCCTGATCACCTTTTGCGGCCACAACTTAAAATGGCTGCAAGAAGGGAAGCCACAAGGTCATTCTGGTTGTTTTGGCTGCAACCGAGCAATTTATCGGTTGTCTCCGCTTCTGTTTGTTTTTCCCAATTTTTGTTTTGGGGGGGTTAACGTTCCTCCAAAAAATGTTTATGCCCCGTTGAATTTTTAGAAAGCGTCGGCCTTCCAGAGTTATCCCCCTGCACAATCTCAGCTTGCTGGCTCACAGGGAAGAAAGGAAACAACAAAAGCAAACAGGAAAATCAGCTTCCCTGGTCTGGATTGTGGTTTAGTGGCTAGGGGACTGTGTCCCATTTACAAGCTTCAAAATCCAAACCACCAACAAGAGAATAAATCACTGAGTAAAAGAGAAAGCTAAGTCTGGCAAAACCACCCCTAACCTCTAAACCACCGATCCAAACCACCAACCAGAGGTTTACTGGAAAACCAGGAGTCTGGCGAAACGTAACCGACGTGGGGACGGATGCAAAATTTAAAAATAGCGCCGGCGCCTTGTTGAAAATGTAGTCCCCCTGCTTCGTCAGGGACGCCTCCACCGGCTTGCTGGCGGAGGGATACCTGGCGCGCCAGGTGACACACACCCTCCTCCCCCCCGAAAAAAAGAAAAAGTGGGGCTGAAGGGACACAACTCTTGCTTCCCCAACAAAAAGTGTTGAACACTTAAGCAAGTCACCTCGACTCGTCGGGACACCAGCCAGCTTTATTCGGCCCAAGCCTTGAAAGGGGCCAATCCCCCCGCCTGGCATCCAGGACGGTGCCCTTCTTGCCGAGCATGGACCACCCGTGCTCGCAGAAGTGCGGGCCTCAACGAACGGTGAGCGGAAAGCTCCGGCCCGGCCGTCGAAAGCCCGGAAAGAAAAGTGGAATCAAAGTGGAGAGTCTTGTGGGCCTTGACCTAAATGAGGAAGCCGTCCAGTCAATAGCTTCATTTTGCCCCAATTCAGCAAAGCAGAGTGATGCCCATTCCCTGAGTGGGACACCCGAATCCTCCGAATCTGCGCAAAATAGTCAGGCTGATTCACAAACCAGATGCAGCGACTGTAAGCCCCGTCACGTTTTGACAGGGGTCGCATTTGAGGAATCCTGCTCAAGGGAAGGGCCGTGCATTTTTTGAATAAGGTAGGCTTGACCAAGGATTCCCTGTCGTTGTTTGAAAACAAGCAAGGTAGAGGGGCTTACTATGCTTGCAGGGCTTGCCTGTTGTTGACACCCTCGTTAGACATAAAGGAATCTCCTTGTAGAATCCCTCTTTGAGGGGCGGCCCTCTCACCTCCACGAAAGAGGTCAACAAGACTAACAACCGATTCATGTCCCATTCAAACGGCAGGTGGTCCAGTGGCCAAGCTTAGGAGCCCGCAAATGGGCGACAGGATGATCATCTGCCACTCGAAGTACCTCGCCGGCGCGCATCTCGCCGGTTCTCCGAGTCCAAAAGCCGTTCAGGGATTCTGTAGGGTTGAGCGCCTGAAAAACGAGCCAGACAAACATCTGGGCTGAAGTGTAACAAACCACAAACAAAAACATGAGCTCCCTGTGCTTCATGGGTGAAGTCTCGGACCCTCACTGTGAAGGTGATGAGACCAAGCACATATAGAGCCTTCCATGAGGCATTCTAAAATACGACTGCTGGACAGTCTGCTTTCTCTCCCTCTCTCTGTCCCTCCCGAGCACCTCGTGACCAGCGTCTTGTTCGGCGCAACGCTTGCCGCCTTGCAGATGTCCCGGTACCTTGGGCATGGGTCGCATGGGTCCAAAAGGCCGGGAACCTCAAGGAAGTCCTCTGGCGAAATGACTCCCAAACCGGAGACATTCAAAACCCACGGTGAAGGACCTTAGGTGAGCTCGCTTTACCACTACAGAGCTCATTCAAATTTGCGGAGGCCGTGAGGGCCCCCAGTCGGAGGATACCCAACCCGAAAGATCGCAATGCGCGAAGCAGCATATCTCAACGCAAGTGTTGCTTCAGAGAGCGAGGCAGAGGGTGCCTCTGTCCAACAATCATTAAAGTGGACGAGGGGCCATTTCAAGAGGCCCGTCAGCTTCCATGATTGGAGGGAGGGTAGCTCACAGAGGGGTTGCACGAAACAAATGTCCTCACAATTCCCACCCAAACAAAGCACAATCTGAGGGAAAATCCTCCTTATGAGATCGCCTTGCACCCGCAGTGTCATGGCGGCTCCCTGCCAAAAGGAAAACATCACCCTCCTGAGCTGCCTGAAAAGCCTTTTGCTGCAACTTGCATCCAAGTCCGACCTCAAATCGATCTCACCCACCGCCGTCTCAGCCAGGCCGCTGGTCGAACGTGGAGGTAAACTCGAAGTAGCATGTGCGCAGGGCCTCGCGATAGTACCTGCACGAAGGGCTCTATGGGTTCGCCAATTTGTTTCACCTTCGTATCAGGGCGCTTTTCTATTTAAACGGCAGGAGCACCTTCTTCAAGTGTTCTGGTCATAGCTCCACGGGATTTGTTGCTTAGCCAAAGGCGACGAGCTCAAGGTCATCGCTTCATTGGAACGTACCTCACCAAACCCTGAAATAGTCCAGGGCTTGCCTCTCTTTTCCTATCCCTATGTTTGTTCGACCCCCTGACCCAAAGGTTAGACGGGGTCGAGGAAGCAGTTCGGGCGTTGGAAAACCTCGAGGCAGCACAACCTGCGACAGAGGGCACATCGTCTCGTAGAACTTCTTGCTCTCCTGCCTGGGATGCGCACAGCGGCCCAACGTGGATACAACTTGCCGCTGGATGATAAAACCATATGGCCATGGGTCAAATTCCTGTACCCCCAGGAACATCCCAATCCCCACTCAAATAGACTAAATGGGTGGTGCACCTACCCCAAAATGGTACCATTGGTTTGGACCCACAGCCATATGAAACCCTGGATGGTCTAATAAAGGGGGTCGTCCCGTTGACGGCGGTGTGCTTCACTGTTGGGAGAACGCACCCCGAAGAATCCACAAAATTGCTTCATCCAGGGGAAGTGAGAGTGGAGAAGCGTTCGCCGGCGCTTCCCGCACTCTGGCATTTGAACTGCACAATCCGCAGCGCAACTCTGGAAAGACATTTGAGGCACTGGAGCCAGAAAGCTCAGCCGGGCCGCACCAGTCTGTTCATCTCATTGGCAAACCACACGTCCACAAAGCGGGCCGTCTCGCTGCCTGGCGCAGCGCCGAGTCTCCTATGGGGAGCCACCCCTCGTCAACTCAGAGACTGCCAAAGGGAAGGTGTGTTTTTGGCAGCCCATGAAAATGAGCACAAGGCCCTTTCGCGCCCAGAAAAGCGAGAATCACATGGTCCTCACGCTTACCAGAGGTAACCCTGCGACACAGGCCTGTGTCCAACTTCTCGCTGCCGCCGATCATGGACTTCATGGTGTCCAAGAACACGGCCAGTGTCAGCACAGCTTTGTTGCCTGGATCAAGGCCAGACATACCCAACATGAGACATACCCCACATGCAAAGCCATGGGGGTTTGTTGCCTGCGTCTGAAACGGTTGGTTCCTTTTGGTCTACTAGTTGCGCCGGATCTAAGGCCCTCTTTACATACTCAAAGTGAAAATAGCCCACCTCTGAGCCATTTTTTGTGTGTGGGGGTGGGGGGGGGGGCGGGCATTGTATTCTGGATGGCCCCGGTACGACACCTTCATACCCAATGTTGCGTGGACCCCACTGTTGGAGTCCCCCCTTTCGGCCACTTTCCAAAAGGGGGATGTGTGCCCGGAGCCGGCCATCGGGACATATCTTTTGAAAGACCAAACTGCAACGGCTGCGTGGATCTCCATGCGCGTCATGGTCAAACCTCCTATGGTCCAACGTCATGCATTCCCTACTGGACCCATGACCCCCCATACCGACCCCAAGTAAGAGAGCGTTTGACCCAGTGCCAACTGGCAGGCTCTAAGTCGCGGCAACCGTTTGGCCAAAGTGAGATGCGTAAGGACCCTATGCCAATCCTTTTGCCAGGCTTTGGAAGCGAACCGGAAGGAGCCCTGGGTTGGAAGTACGCCAAATGACCCCCTGCCAACCCTTTTAGCAGCAATCGTGGATTTGCGCAGGGGGCAAATTTCAAGGAAACCGTAGTCTGCCGAGGGTAACGAAGTAGCGCCCTCTCCCATCTGAGTAGTTCTGGGAGAGAATCTAGTAATTACAGGACCTTCATGGCTGAGCTCGCTCGGCCCCTAGGTGAGCTCGAACCAATTTGCAAGCAGGTCGAGGCTGCTTGAGGCTTTCCTTCGCGCGAGGGTCGGAGTATGTGCCTTCAGGCCAAGATGGAGCGGAAGCTTTTCGGGGCTTGGCCCGCGGCAAGCGCATGTTGTCCAACTCCCGGAGCTTAGTTCCCAGGAGCTTCGGGAAAAGTCCCAAACTCCCTTTGAAGGTGGCTGAAAAAGCCGTTACCCTGCGGTGCTTAGGGTGGAAATGTTAGGGAAGCCCTGAGCTTTTGCAAGATGGAAGTGAAGCATAGTGCCCCACTCCGGACTGGTCAGGCTGTTCTATAAAAAGCTGTGCTCGGAGTCAATACCAACTGCTTAGCAGACTGCACATTCAACTGTCTATAGCTGAAGCTTGCTACAAAAACGCAGGTGCCATGTGAGCTCCCCACTTGCTCCTGTGCACATTGATCGCTCCAGCATGACCCTCAGACCTCCCTAAGTCAACCGATCGGCCACCGGCGTCAACAAGCCTGCTCGCAGTGGTTGCCACGGTGTTTCAACACATGGCAACCGAAATTGGAGCAAAACGGGCCATTCACAGGGCTCCCAACAACAAATCGCCCCATCAAATATTGCACTAAGAGGAAACTCACCTATATCGAGAACCCGTCTACATGTGAGCCCAAACTTTCCTACAGAGTCTAGGCATAATGGTCGGTGTAGTAGTGGTCATCCTGCTCGTTGTCTCCGGGGCGAAGCCCGAAAGCTTTCCTCGAGGGCAGGATCTGAAAACTCAGCTGTTCAGTGACCCTGGAAAAAAGGGAGCCATTTTTTTTGGCACACGGCGGGCGACGATTCGCCGGCTGACGGAGGGGCATGCCGCCCAACCATCTATCCAGGCCTAGTGGGGCAGGTGCCCACCAGTGACACATACCACAGACAGTGGCAGAAAGCACTCCACACGAGGTGAAACAACCTCCGAGGGCAGGCCGCCCTCACATCCAGGACCCACACCACGAAGGGCCCAGCGGCACCAGGCCGCCAACGCCACTGCACCCAGCGCATAGTCATGCGAGGGACCCAAAAAAAAGGCCCAATCGCGAGGGACGCGGCCCAGCCGGGCCACTGGAGTGCACAGCAAGCGCACTCCAGAGAAGGCCCCCCTGGGCCACGCCAGGCCCGCATACGCACCCAAGCGGGGCTCCCACTTACCTGGAAAAGCAAGTGGGGCCCTACGGGTGACACATCGCCGAGCTGCTTTGAAGTGTACCAGAAGGTCTTGCACCGTGGCTGCTCGTCCGTCCTGATAGGGCAGGACAACCGGGTAGCGCCTCCACACCACCAACGCAACCGCCAGGCCCGGCTGAAAGGAGTCCTCCGCATGCAGCCAAACTGCACCATGAAGAAAGCTGCTCCAGGCCTCCCATGACGAGGCACCCATCGCCCAGTCACCAGGTTTCCCCGGCGGGGGAAAAGCAGCACAAAAGCGCGGAGGGCCATGGCACGGGTCCGGTAAAGGCTCAGGGGGAGGGGCAGGAACCACAGGGCACAGGGCTTCACCAGGGTCAGGGGCAGGCACAGGGGGAAGGGGGGTGCGCGGCAGGGCAAGAAAAAGGCTCTGCAACCACAAGCGACGGCGGTAGGTAGCGAAGAAGAGGGCATCAAGACGCCGGGCAGGGACAGACAAAGAGGCCCGGGCGGCAGTCTTGGCCGCGAGGTCTGCTGCATGGTTGCAACGGGCATGCAGGGCCTCAATCGGATGAGTCGCAGCCGACACGACCACATGACCGCGGATCCAATGAAGCTCCAGGGAGAAACCACCCACAGCACGGGACCGGACAAGAGACCACAGGACCTGCCAGAGATCAGCAGCCGCAATGTGGGGAGCAACCCCACCAGAAACGCCAATGGCCTGCCAAGCCTGGACAGCAGACTGGGAGTCGGTATGCACTACCAGGTGGCCCCGAGTATGCATGGCCGCACGCACAATGGCATACACCTCCGCACGGTAGTTGTCCGCAAAGACACCCGGTACAGCACCAGCATCAACAGTGGCACGCGAACCAGACACAACGGCATAGCCAGCTGCCGCAAGGAAAGGGTGCTGCGGCAAGTAGACACTACCATCAGTCCAGAGGTGAGTAGTGTGCCAAGGCCCGTAACGTGGCAGAGGGGAAGTAGCAGGCCACGACTGAGCGGCACAGAACGCCGACTGAAGGTCAGCAGGCACTTCAAGCAGACCATGGGTGGCAAAGGCAGGTCCCTTGTTCCTGACCAGGGGGGGGGTGGGCCAACCTCCCCAGGCAGGGCCTGACACGCAACAAGGTGACCGATGGTCTCCTGCTCCCGCCCACAGTACCGACAGAGAGAGCTACCGGACAGGCCCGAGGCATGAAGCCGGTCGGCAGTGATAGCCGAGCCAACCACAACCGCCGGGGCCACGGCCTTCCTGGAGGGCAAGAGACGGGCAAAGGAGGTCCACCGAGGACATGGGGGGACACTCCAGGGGGAGCGAGTGAAAGCCACATCCAGGAGACCAGTAGGTCCGTGAGCAATGTCAGCACGCTTGCCCCGGCAGGCCCTAGTGTAAGCATGCTGGGGGATAGTCCACTGGAGCAAACGCTTAAGCGAGCGCAGGGACATACCAAAAAGGGAGAGCCAGGGGCCATGATCAAAGGCAACAGAGGCAGGGGCCTGGAAGCGGAGACCGCACACGGTGACAGCCGACACGAAAGCCGCAACAAGGGTGGAAGGCAGCAGGCGCTGATTTGTGAAAGCAAGCCTCCACTTGAGGCTGAAGACCTCCGAACGCTGGAGATGGGCCGCAATGTTGAGGATAGTGCGATACGGCAGCGCATACTCCGGATGAACCAAGTGGCCGGGATGCACAACAGCAAGGAGGAGTTCCCGGGACCTCCACATAGGCCTACCATCCCAGAGAACAGAGGCGACCTCAGAGGCAAGGGCAGAAAGGATCCGCTTCGGGAACAAAGTTGAGCTCAGCCGCATACGACAGCATGGGCATGGCCTTACCGGCGATGTAGGATGCCTTGGAGGCAGCAGAGAGCGGGAGACTCCGGATGGCACGGAGCGCCCTCCTGAAGCTCGCAAGAGCAGGTGCCCGGGCATCCCGGGTACCACGGAGATCCAGATTGATCGTGACCCCCAAGGGGGACAGGGCCTTCAGGCGGGGAGCTTGAGGTAACGCCGGCTGAAGCTCCGCCACACACGTGTCCTGAGTAGCCCACCAACCTGACTTGTGGAGATTGAACTGCTGGCCAGGCAAGGAGTCAAAGAGCGAGGTAGCACGGACGGCCTGGACCAAGTTGGGAATCGCATCCAAGGTGGTCACGGTCATATACCCATCGTCAACGAAGACCCTGGGCGTGACACCAGGAAAGTGCCGAATAAGGAGAGACCACGCCGTCATCAGCACATTTGCCGCAAGCACAGACATGGAACACCCTTGGGCAATACCATTGCTGTTAGCCAGGGGCTCAGGGTGGACAGCACCACGCCACGACAAGAAGCGGCGAAAGCCATCATAATTACCACACCAGGCACGAGCGACCGACTCGGGGAAGCCCAAGGCAGTGAGGAGCGCTACAATTTGCCTGGGCATAAGGCGATCAAAACACTTGGAGCGATCGACTTGAATGCCCGCAAAAGGAGTATCAGTGGCACGCGCCTCATGGAAGTCCAACGCCATGTGATGGGTGATATCCTCCACACGGCGACCAGGGACACCACCAACAACCTCAGGCGGAAGGACGGCACGTTGCCACGCAGTGGAGGCTCGAAACCTCGCCGACGACCATGCCAGATAACAAATAGGAAGGACGGCGATGAGCCTCTTGGACAGAGGGGCGGGGCCAGCTCCCTTGTCCAGGACTGCCAACCGAGCGGTGCCGAATACCGGCATGGGCCACCGGCCCAGCTCAACCTGCTGAAGGAGATAGGCCAGGAGCCGGAACACAGGGATGGGCAGCGCGCGGAGCTCAACAGCTCTCCAGCCATCTAAGCCAGCAGACGAATCAGGGCTCCGGCGGGCGACCGAGGCAGCCAGGTCCTCAGCAGATACAGGAGCAAGGACCAAGGGAGAGGCACGCTGCTCAAGGAGATGCTGGACAGGGCGCATGAGCGGATCCACGACGGGAAAGTCCTCCGCATGCACCTCAAAGACAGTGTTCCACTGCTCCGCAGCGTGCGCAAGGGCCACAGCAGGATGGTACGCAGGGGCACCATCCGGACCAGCAAGAGA